AAAATTGTGAAAATATTTTTTCTTGCTAAAGTTTTTTCACAAATATATCCTTTCAGATCAAGTTCCTTACCAAAATATGGCATCCCAACATCAGTTCTCAAACCGGCACAATTTGCCTGGACATTCTGAAGGATCAATGGTGATTAGCTTGTTATCTTTGGTTAACGCTGTTTAAAGTAGCTTTGCGGTTTGTGCTGCGTTGGCGTACACTTCAGCGAAGTTTTATTCGCTGAAAAAACCCATCGTCTGAGTGGTAATTTGCACGTTTTTGAATAACTTTTGGAAAAGGACAATAGAAGGAAAGGTCGTTAGACTACTTATCGATCGAAGAGCTTGTTAATTTTTTAGCAAGGAAACTACCTGCGCCACATATACGGGAAACTGTGAAAAAGTTATATTATACCCGGTGCGGTCTACTACGAAATGTCTAGTTCCCATCTGCCGTAGATCCATCTTTCATTCCCTTGTGAAGCGTCCATATTAAGATGCCTATGAATCCCGAACAGAGTAGAATGTTTCTTTGACCTTTATGCTATTTCAAACTGGGTGTTCATGCCGTATGGGGTCCGAATTATACAGGAACATAAATTTTTGCTCTAATTAGGTGAACCAGGGATGCAGTCATAAGCATGTATGTTTTTTAGTTTGTGAAGTGGTGGTCTACCTCATACTTGACCGCTATATGGGTTTCTGCTCAGTTTGTTAGCAGTTCTCGAACAAATCGTATTAAAACCCTCACAGATATTCATTTCTTGTCATATTATGCATACTATGGCTTAATTCTGTTTTTTTAGGGCAGCATCACTAACACTACGAACAGTACTTTTGAGCATACAAGCGCTCATGTGTTCCCCTGAGCCGAAAGACCCTCAGGATGCTGTCGTAGCAAAGCAGTACATGTCAAATCCAGGTCTTTTCAAGGTAACCCGTTTTTCATTCACCTTTATTACGTTTTCTTGATCACTATTATGGTAGCTTAGAGTTCTCTTTATTTGCAAAAATTAAATTACAAATGTTTGCATTTTTTTTACTATAATTAGGGACCTTGTTTGGGGTATATGGAATTTGAGTGGGGACGGTATTATATAAGCATAGCTTACTGCTTGCTAGGGTTCGATTTGCAAACAAATAGATGTAGTGAATGTGTCAAATATTACTCTTCCGTTAAATTTTCTGAAACCAGGTTTTCCTTCTAGTTACTCACTTTCAAAGTCTGCAGCTTAAATGCGTATATTGAAAGCATTGGGATAACTTTCATGTCATCTTTACGTATTGGAGTGCTGTATGAGAATATGGAAATGTGATTCTCTTGCCTTTTTGGCGAAACGTTTTAGAAATTATTTGACTTGCTTCTGTGATCATGATGTTCTTTGCTCTGGAATCGGTATTTCCGACTTCACCCAAGTAAACAAAGTTATTGCTGCGGTCCGGTTTCACATAGCCTGTGCATTCAAGAGCGGGATTAGGTAGAATTGAGTGAGCAGAGATGTGTGTCTGCAAGGGAGATTGGTTAATATCCAGTTGTTCCTTTCCGTGTTGGCTGCTTTACGGCTTCACAAGGAGAACCTTCACTTTTGTCTTCTAACGGTTTTCGTCCCAGTTTGTCCATGCTCTTGGGTTTGCAATACTTCCCAACGGCTGTTGTTAACATTGTATCATTTTCCAGAAAGTCTTCACCTGTTTTGTGGCGGCTATTTGAGGCGCTTTGTTTGATTGTTTGTGAAAAAAATGCAGGTCATAGTCCTGTTAGATTTTTACCATGTGAGAAGAAAGGGCATTGAGTAACTGTATGGCCTTCTAACGAGCAAAAACCGAAGCTTTGTCAATATCATTAAAATTACTTTATTGAGCGTTTTTGGAACATTTAACATAGTACCGTTAAGGACTTACACTTTGGGTGCGTGTGGAATTAGAAGCAATCATCAAGAATCGCTCAGACTCTCCTTTTCCCTATCAATCACTATCACTCTTCTTTGTCCTAAATTCGTTTAGCAAGGTCAGCTGACGCTAGTTTTGGTATTCTTATTTGCACATAATCACGAACTCGTCTACACGCCCTTCGTCTTTCTCACATATTGCGTTTGTTATCATATTACCTATTTCTGTTGCAAAGCCTCTGTGCTGATCTCCAACTTCAATTTCTTATCGTTATTTATTCTCGAACAAGCTTTTGCCGCAATAGACTACATCACATCTTCTCCTTCACTTTTTTTTGATTGTTTGACCTCAGATTTTTTCATTGAAATCTTTGATATTCACAATTGACGTCTATGCAGTTTCAGGGAGTTTTTTTTT